GAGGAGTGGCCTGATGGAGGCGGAACTACAATAGAATGCCTGCTTCTTCCCTCAGAGGGACCAAACTCCATTCTCCATTAGCAAGGAGGGTGATATGAAACCGAGACGACTAAAAAGGGCGAGGCACTTGCTGCCTGCTGGTGAAATACATAAGGGACACTAAGAAATGCAGTAAGCAACGAGTTGACTCAGTGCAAGGCTGGAGCGCGAAGATCCCTCAGGCCCAGAGGAGTTTAAGAACTGCCTGGACATCTTAGCAAGATCTGTGTCTGCTCAGTTGGTGGAGTGCTTGCCCAGCACCCACAAAACCCTAGCCAACGTCTGATGCCTAGCATTGCATCAGTCAGGCATGGGGGTACATGTTAATAATGTTTTATAGTATTACTATTTTAATGTCAACCAACTAATATTTAATATGTAGCTGGTTAATATTAGTATTAATTTTTAATGATATATTTCATGTTATAAAATAAAAATAATATCAAAATGTCTTTTTGACACGGCGTCTTACCACAGCTCAGGTTGGCCTGGAACTCACAATCTTCCCGCTCTAGTCTACCCAGTGCTAGGACTGTAGGTCTATACTACCATGCTTGACCATCGTATCAAAACTTTGAGATGGACGGGCCTGCTAATTCATCAACCTCAGGCTTCAAGAGGGCTCCTCTCCACAGCTGGCCACTGACCCTGCACACTGTCAAGGATCAGCTCAACTTCATGGTCTTGTGGGGACTTCATTTTCTTCATTGCTTATTTTCCTCAGTCCTTTGCTTTTATTCTTAGGGATCATTACTCAAAAATAATGCTTCATGTAAGTGCTTGTCTCTGCTTGTGTTTTTTAGTAGTTTGAGGTAAAAGAATAAACCTAAGTAAGATTCTAACAATAACATTCCACTCAAAAGATATTTCAAAAGTACAGAAAACCTATGAGTAATTTCGCTGGGTTAAAAAGCACAAACCAGGGCTGGAGAGATGGCTCAGAGGTTAAGAGCACTGCTTGCTCTTCCAAAGGTCCTGAGTTCAATTCCCAGCAACCACATGGTGGCTCACAACCATCTGTAATGAGATCTGGTGCCCTCTTTTGGCCTGTGGGGATATGTACAGACAGAACAATGTATACATAATAAATAAATAAATCTTTAAAAAAAAAAAAAAAAAAAAAAGCACAAACCAAGCCAGGCATAGAGTCACACACCTGTAATCCTAGCACTTGGGAGGCAGAGGCAGGCAGATCTCTGTGAGTTGAGGCCAGCCTGGTTCTACATAGGGAGTTCTAGGACAGCCATGGCTACATACAGAGATCCTGTCTCAAACAAACAAATAAATAAAAATAAAAGGCATAAACCAGAGTTGTCCTGGCACATTAGGCACATGGTCTTAAAGGACAGGAAAGGAAACTGAGGTTGTAAGGGGTGGGAAGCCAGCCTAATCGTAGGGCTCAGACTGGGGGAGGCTACCAAAACCAAACAAGAGGAACAAACAGAAATCCCCCGGAGTTTCTCGCAGAGGGTCTGGAGAAACAAGCCGGTTTGTGCGAAGAGATGGGTTCCTCAGCCTGTCAGTATCACCAGCCCCATGGATCCCAGGACACAGGCTCCAGCGTAGGCTAGGACATGGTGTTCCCAGGGCCTTAGCTGCGGATACTGAGCAGAGGGAAAAAGGCAGTCTCGGCCCTCCTTTGCCAGATCTGAGAGCCAAATCTCACTAGTTTGTCCTCTCTCTGTTCCTCCCTCCCTCGGTTCCTGGACAGGGAATGGGCCTTTCTGCAAATAGAAGGCCTTTCTGTCCAAGAAGGCTTTGGCGCCTTGCCGCAATAAAGAGCCCTGGGCGCCTGAAGGGTGCAAAAGGACAAACACCAGAGCCCAGACGTGGTGAGAATGTGACTCCATTGCTATGCTCCCGCAGTGGGCCAGCGGCGTCTCTCTGGTGTCTCCTGTAGAGGCCCCAGGGAATCTTCAAGAGGACACAGGGACAACTCAGAGGCCCGTGACCCAGCCTTTTTAGTTCAGGGCGCGTCTCTGACTCAGCATGACCTCGCACATCCCTCGCAGGCTCCCGAGCCACTGTTGCCGCTTTTCAAGGTGAGGATCCTGCTGTTCCAATGACGCTTCTCTGCCCCCCGCTGTCTGGTGACGGACTAGAGCCATGCTAAGGCACATAAGTGAGCTCCCACGCTGTCGTGTGTCACCCACAGAGGTCTCTTGCGAACGCTGACTTGAATTAACTGTCGGGTCCGCCCGCCTGAGCTCAGACTCCAGACTGGGAGAGTGGAACAACGGACTCCTGCCCCGGGCTAGGCCTGGCAGGACGCGGACATTGAAGCCAGGGTCAACCCCCTAGAGACCTTGCTCTCCGGACGCAGCTCCTCCCTGTCGCTCACCCTCCCACGTGTGGCTGAGAAATCTGGAGCTCCGGGCTCGCTGCACGCGCGTTACACAGCAGCGGATCCCAAGCGGGAGGCCCAGCTTGGAAGGCCGCTGGGCGCCGGGAACCGAGCAGGAGGCGGAGCCGACCCGGGAGCACCGCCCCGATCGCTGGAGCGCACTAGCCTCCAGGTGCCTCTCTCGCACGGGGGGTGTGGTTCCGAGGACTGGGCTTCCCCGAGCTCGGCACCAGCCCCTGGGAGCTTTGCGGCACCCGAAGCGCATTTGCACGCAGCCATCCCGGGAAGGCCCCCCGCCGGGCTCCTCAATCGCCAGATTTTCCTATTACCCCCTCGTGCAAGTTGTGAAGGAGAGGCAGGAAGCATGCGGGACTACGACGAGGTGACCGCCTTCCTGGGCGAGTGGGGACCCTTCCAGCGCCTCATCTTCTTCCTACTCAGCGCCAGCATCATCCCCAATGGCTTCAATGGTATGTCAGTCGTGTTCCTGGCGGGGACCCCGGAGCACCGTTGCCTTGTGCCTGACACCGTGAACCTGAGCAGCGCGTGGCGCAACCACAGTATCCCGTTGGAGACGAAGGACGGGCGACAGGTGCCCCAGAAATGCCGCCGCTACCGACTGGCCGCCATCGCCAACTTCTCTGCGCTGGGGCTGGAGCCTGGAGTGGACGTGGACCTGGAGCAGCTGGAGCAGGAAAACTGCCTGGATGGCTGGGAGTACAGCAAGGATGTCTTCCTGTCCACCATCGTGACCGAGGTAGGTGACAGCGCCGTGCTAAAGATAGTCACTGGGAATGGAGACTCCACCGCATCGGTGCCCCCAACAATTGTGCCTGGGTCAATGTCACACTCCATCTCAAATGTGCCAGGCACAGAATGGGGTTCTGAGTGCATTCTCGGCACAGGCTCAGAGCTGATGAATTTCTGTGTGCCGTGGAGGGGATGGAAAAGAGTGTTGTCATCAACTGCCTTTTCCTTTCCGTGTTTCACAACACTTAGAGTTTCCCAAGAGCCTCAGTGCTTCCCTGGGCAGGCCAAGCCCGGTACTGTCTTGGTATGCAGTCAGATGTTTCCTTGCCACCGAGGAGAAAAGGGATGTGGTGGTCTGTTGAGTTCAAGTATGACACACGAAGGATCTTGAGACAGAGAAGGGCCTCTGTGTGGAGGCCCCAATTTCTCCAAAAGGGGGCGGCTGTCCCTTGGCATCGGTTGGATGCAAGTAGCCAAAAGTAGAACTGGCATTTGGGTACTGGTGGAGGAGCAGTTCTCCTGTGGGAAGTGTCAGCTGGTGGGCAGGAGCTCCAGCGGGGACCTCTAAGTAGTCTGGGAAGGGATTCCCTAAGTCACAGAATCTGGATGTGGACCTATCCCCTCTCTGTGTTTCCTGCTGCACATTTGCTAAGGGCCAGGCGAAGTTATTAGGTCAAGACACACAGTCTTTCTGAAAAGAGCATCCCTAAGAACCGATTTCCTGCTATTGATCAGACTGGTAGGATGTCCTGTTTTCCCACCTTCCAATGCTGCCTCTGTTCCCTCTTTCTCCCAGGGGGGTTAAAAACAACAACAAGAAGAAAACTATGTTCCTCCCAAGGGGATGGGGGGTGGACAACTGACAGGAGCCTCGCTCGCTTCTTTATCTCTTTCCCTCAGCACCACGTAGCAGTCATCAAAAAATGTGTCTGGGTGTGGGTCCCACCTGCAGAGCTCAGATGCCTGTGGGCCATACCAGCTGTGTTGTTGGGAAAGTTCACTTCAATCCTACTTAGCGTTGGACTTCAGACGCCAAAATTCAAATCATGGCTTGTTTTATGTGTGACGTTGGGTAAATAAACTCCCTTCTCTTCGTGGAATAGATCTGGAGATACTGCGGGAAGGAGATGGAAACGGGAGGCAAATCTGGAGATAAGGGATGGTCCTGTTCAGCAAAGACGTGGCCAGTTCTGGGAATGGGAGCCCTGTAGATTGGGTAAATGGAGCTCCGAGGAGGATAAGAGGCTAGAGCTGCCTCTAGGGCCAGCTTGTGAGTATTCTGAAGAGCTGACTATATTTTGAGGACCATAAAAATAGCAAGCCTAAGATTTGTGCTTTCATTTTCTTCTTTTGAGACAATGTCACAGGATATGGGCTTCTCTAGTCTGTAACTCACTGCATAACCCCAGCTGGCTTTGAACTCACAGTGATCCTCTTGCCTCTGCCTCCTAGATACAGAGACTTATAGATATATACCAACTCTCCCAACACTGTCTGTGTTCTTAGAGTCTAATCTAGCTGCTATGGAAAGCAAGATTGGGAGAAAACTGTGGAAGTCACTTCTGCAAGAGAATACTCAGTCAAGAGTGGCGGCTGTGGAGGATGCAGGGCTCATGGGGAGTGGATGAGCCTGCGGCCCCCCTCTGGGTCCCTCACATTAACACCCTGCCTATCTTTGATCCTTGTGTGGCCTGCCATGCCTCTCCAGCTGTGCCTGGCCCTGGGGTATCTAAGACTGAGAGCCAGCTCATCCTTCAGTTCTGGGATTATTCCCTGCATCTAAGTTAGAGGTTGGAGCCACTAGCTGCAACCTTCACAGACAACTGGTCTACCCCGGCTCCTGTCCTCCTCCTGGATGGTTTTGTTTGCCTAAGGATATGGGGGGGCGGGGGGGGGCGGGGCTGGAGAACTACCAGCTCCTGAGTCCATAGGTGCCCCACCACGCTGTCCCCAGGGGCCTCTGGGCACAAGTCGCGCACACTTGCTTTGCTTCGCAGCCTCTCTCTCTTGCTTGCTTTTTTTTTTTTTGGATGGTGAGAGTCGAAAGGCAAAGGGCACTGGTGGCTGGAAAGAGAAGGAAAGGAGGCAAGAAGCAGGGTGAGTAGTGTGGGGTGGGTCTGTCTCTCCAGAGGGCGCAGGAGCTCAGAGTCTGGGTGACAGCTAACCACAACAGAAACAAAGTATTGCAGAGAATGTGGATGGAATGCCCATGTGTTACTGGGGAGAATGTCACTCAGTTACAGTTTCTGCAACAAATGCCCGACACAAGCAGTTTGCAAAGAGACAAGGTTCAAGCCCAGGATCAATTGGCCCTGTTACTTTTGGAGCCTGTAGAGAGGCAGCACATCCCGGTGGAGAGCGTGTGCCAGAGGGAAGCAACTTTCCTCGTGGAGAAGACACCAGGGTCCCCAAGTCCCCTTCCAAAGACCTAGCTTCCTCCCAGTGGGCCTCACCCCTTCAAGAGCCCACCAACCCACAGCAGCTTCAGGCTGGGAGCCAAGCCTTCAACAAATATCTTTAGAGAAGCATTTAAGATCCAGCCTCTATCCCAGCACCCAAGCAGTCGAGGCAGAAGGATTGCTATGAGTTCCAAGCCGATGTGGGACACAGCACGAAACCTTGTCCCCAAACAAAACCAAACCTGAACCGTGGCAGAAGGTACAATGACACAGTTGTTGTGAGAAGAGTGTTAGTGTCCTTCAAAAAAAAAAAAAAAACAAAAAAACAAAAATAGAATAAACTGGGTGTGGTGCATGCCTGTAATCCCAGCACGTAGGAAATGGAAACGAAACCCAAAGTCCTCCTTGGTTACATAATGAGTCCCAGAGCAGACTGTGATACCTGAGACCCTGTGCCAAATAATAAGAATAAGAATAAGAATAAGAATAAGAATAAGAATAAGAATAAGAATAAGAATAAGAATAAGAATAAGAATAAGAATAATAGAATTCCCATACAATCAACCCTTTGCACTTCCAGGTAAATGATAAGTTTTTGCACCCCAATAGGCCTCTCCGCCGACTGAGCAATCCAAATCAGACTGAATCAGACTGAAAAAGCCTGATTTAGAAAAATCAGATTTAGAAAAAGCCCAGGTTAAATGGGTAAAGTATTCCTGGGTGATTCTCTGGCCCTTCAGAGAGGAGACAGGGACAAGAGACTGGAAAACCACATGTCTGTTTTCTGGAATACAGCTTAAATACCCTGTGGAAGTGGTCTTGAACCTCTTTGGGGGAAGGAGCTGTGTTTGGCAGGTTTGGGAAAAGAGATGGGGGAGGGGAGTTGAGGTGGACATTCCACCAGAACATTCCAGACTCTTTGGGTATATGGATGCCAGGGTACCAGGGGTTGAGGTGGAGCTCCCACCCAAACAGTAAACACCAACAGAATTGAAACAGGGCCTCAAAGAGTTACTTGTTAGGCTGGGAGATGGCTCAGTGTAAGAACACATACTGCTCTTGCAGAGGACCACCGTTCAGATGCCAGCATCCAAGTCAGGGGGCTTACAACTGCATGTAACTCCAGCTCAGACACCTGCGCTCTCCCGTGTGCACATTCACAATGAATAGATATTACAAATTACCTACACATCCATGTTCATAGCAACATTGTTCTCAAGAAGCCAAAAGATGAATGCACCCTGATTTCCATCAACGGCTTGAATGGATACATAAAATGTTGTATATATGAACATCAGAGTTTGATCTCACTCGAAGAGAAAGCAAGTTGTGGGCACAGGCTCTATGAATGACTGGGGACAACACCATGCTTAATGGAACGGGCTGGTCACACAAACGCATCACTTCACTTACAAGACTTAGGTAAAGCACAGGCGGACGTGATCACACAGGCCTGGAATAGCACTGGGGGGGAGGGGGAGGCAGGAGGATCGAGGTCAGCCTGGAATGCAAAGACTCTGTCTCAAAACCTGAGAGAGACAGAGATGGGAGGAGGCAGAAAGAAAGAGGGGAGTGGGATATGAGATGATTGTGGGTTATTGTTGCTTAATGGGTTTCCGGGCACACACAGCCATTCCCAGCATTTTTTAAAACATGGGTGCTGGGGTCTTCAATCAGATCCTCATGCTTACACAGCCAGTGTTCTTTCACACTAAGCTATCTCTCCGGCCCTCTTTATACAATTTCTTAAAGAGTAGATGAACGGTGTCCACCTACAGAGAGGTGGCCCCCTGTGGATGGACTCTATACTTGTGGTACCAGCAAAATGGCATCACAGGTGAGCAGTGAATAGCACTAAGACAGACCTCGGCCCCCCTCTTGCCTGCACCTCTGGCTGGGCATTGTGGGCATTTGGGGAGCTTTCTCCAAGGCTTGGGTTGTGGCAGATAGAAAAGGTGACAGCTGTACCCTGGTCGCCAAAGATGCAGGGCCAGGCCTCTGAGAACAAGCCTGTGCCAGAGCCCATGCAGACTTAGTGACAGGGGAACAAAATGACCTCATCCTTACAGGCTGAGCCAGGACCTCTGACAGGTCCCTACATCCTGGCTGGCAAGTTTAGAAGGACTGTCCTCGGAATGTGCCTCAGCCTTGTACTCCAGCACCCTGATGTCCTCCACAAGAGAAAGGGCCATCCAAACTGTCCCTGGACCCCTCCACAGAAGGACAGGGTCAGCCAAGAGTCCAGAGAAATGCCTTCCACAGATGCCAGGAGATAGGACTCTCATGTCTGGACTGTGACTCCCATGTATACGACTATCTCGGGGTGCATCCACAGATAAGGTGATTTCCTCCCTTAGGGGCTGTGTGTGAGGTACCAGCCATTCAGCCTGTGGAGTTACTAAGAATCAAATTTCTTACCCTCATTTTGAAATAACTTCTGATTCAAAGAAAAGTTATTAAAATAGTATAGAACATTTACATAGACCCTTCAGCTAGCTTCCTCTGGCCTTAGCAATGTATTTATTGTTTTTCTCAGACAAGGTATTACTCTATAGCTCAGCCTGGCCTGGAACTCACTGTATCATCCAGGTTGGGCTCTTCTTGACTCTGGTCCCCCATGCTGGGATTGCAGACATATGCCACCACACCCAGACCTTCTGTTATCCATTTAAATTACCCATAATGCATTTATCAAAATCAGGAAATTAACACTGGTCAAAGTACCACTAGTGTACTGTGTTCTGATCCAGTCCACCATTCCATTACATTTAGCTGCCATGTCTCAGTCTCCAGTGTGAGACAATTTTTCTACTTTTCCTGATCTTTTGTGACCATGATGTGTTTTAGGTGTTGTTTTAATGAATGCCCCTCAACTTGGGTTTGTGTAATTTTTCTCACGATCAGATTGCACTATGCAGTTTGGGGTAAGAATACAACAGAAGTGATATATTTTCCCAGCCTCAAACTAGGTATATGACCAGGCACATGCTGACGCTGTCTGAATTACCAGTGATATGAACATCAATCATTTGGTTAAGTTGGTGTCTGCTGGATTTTTCCACTATTATTTTAGTATTTTTCTCTTTCAGAGTTAATATACATTTGAAGGGAGATGCTTGAAGATAATACAAATTTTTACCCACTGAGTTTAGCACAGATCTCCAGACCTTGACTGAGATGACTAATACTGTAGTCTTTGCCTAGTGGTGATTTGAGATGATTCTAGAAATAAAGGTTCCCCTCCATAGCCATTTATTTCTGTGTGTGTTTATTCATGTATGCATGGGCTCATACTTATTTATTTCATTCAATCAGTTATGTCTAATACTGTCCTTAATATTCTGTAGCTCCAGCTTTTCACCTTAATTATTTAAATATTTTTCACTTTAAGGAAAAGACTGTAAAAATACAAAGTGAGAGTTTTCTGTCTCTGGACTCTGGACTAGAAGGGTATCTGATCACCCTGGGAAAGGGGTATCTATCCTATCTAGTAGATAAGTTACCCACAGGGTGGTATTAGTGCAAGAACAGAGAGGCACAGGGATGTGTGGGACTTGGGATAAGGGGCTTCTGTTGGGGAAGGAGAGGCCCTGAGCACCCTAAACAATCGTGTGATGATGGGTGATTTTCACTGAGACCTACCATGGTGGTCATACCTTTATCTCTAGGGTCATGACTTAGTCCTTCAGTGCCTATGCCTGAGTAAACTCAGATGCCTCCTGCCCTGAGGCTGAAGGAGCAGGGAGGGCAGGCAAGAGCAGGGTCTGGGCATGAGCTGGCTCTTGCATGGCTTCTTTCTTCACAGAACACCATTAGGTATCCTTGACCTTAGTCCACAAACCGGAAACACCTGGAAAGCTTCATGTGAACCAGACCCAGATCTTCCTAGGCTTTGTGCTTCAGAGGCCTCGAAGGAGGCCTGGGTCCTGAGGGCCAGCCTGCTCAAAAGGCCCTTCAGTAGACCAAGAAGGGGCTGCTGTCCCACCCTAACCTCATCTGTCCTCTTCTGCAGCTGGCTATATCCCTGGGAGTCTGGGGATGAGGTAGCTGAGGGTGTGACCATTCCCTCAAAACCTGCTGCAAACGGCCTGTGCCCCGAGAGGCACCAGCTTTGTGTCACCCTTCCTGGGATCCAGACACTGGTTTCACTCATAGCCCCAAGGTGGGCCAAGTTCTCAGAGGAACGTGGGGCCCCATTCCAAACTCACAGGGAGGTTCTGAGGGTGGGAAGGGAATAGGGACACTGACTAAGGGCCACTCCAACAGCAGAACTAAACACAGACTATTTCCGCTGGGGTCTATGTGGGCCTGGCCAAGGGACAGACCTGGAGGAACGGGCAGTTTGCTTCACTCCACCCTGGTTACTGGAGTTGTACAGGTCGGCCTGGGCCCTGGCAGTCCTAACAAGCTGTGCTCAGCCGCTCATCCCAATAAGCAAGTATACAAACCAGTACTGATGAAAAGCAGGAAAAGGGGATTATTCAGTGCAGCCACATTAGAAAGAGGAACCAGAAGTCCTGTGACAGCTCAAAAGTCCACCACCGGGGTCCTGACATGAGGCTCAGGTTTAAATGGAGGGCAAGAGTTCTGCTCAGCTAAGGAGTCCTGGTCGAGGTGTGGTCCTGCCCATCTTCACTGTCTGGACTCCAGTCCCTCCTGCAAAGTGAAATGTATTTATTTCCAGAAGACAAATAGGCCCTCTGGCTGGCACCAGCATCCCAGCCTTTTCCTTCTCCCAGGAACTCCTAGGAAAATTACAATTTCTTCAAGTCCACTGTTTCAGTAGTCTGCTGGACAAAGAGGAGGGGACAGGTGTCCCTTTAGATTATTTTCATTCCTGCCAGGATGGCTCACCCTGGGATACTGCTTGTGTCCAGGGTGAGACACTGTGCCCTCTCTTGAGTAATTAGACTAAAAAAGTGGGCCCCATGGCATCGGGTTGGCAGCTTGGCTGTCAAGATGGCTTGAATATTAACTAAACCCCTCGGCACTCAGATGTGCCCTCACGGTTCCAAAGACAGCGTGCCAGCCAGCACCACCAACCCCCCCCCCCCCCCCCCCCCCCCCCCCCCCCCGCCCCCAGGCAAACTTGATTTTCAGTCCGCCTTCAGAAAGCATGCCGGGAAACAAACGGAGGAAGACTGGGGACTGCCCCTGGCTCTGGCTTGTGTGCGCTTCCCTGTTTATCAGCTACTTGGTCGCCTTGTGGCTGTGTTCCTCTGACAACTGGCTCTGGGATGTCAGAATGCACCTTTGTTCTCAGGCTGTTTCACCTGCCCCTGCTGCCAAGCCTCCGGATACACAGACTTTGTTCACCCCTCCCCGTGGGTAGCAGAACCCATAGACAGAGTCCAAGGTGGCATGGCGACAGAAATCAGGCAAGCTGGGCGAGAGGCCCTGGCAAGTGCCATGGGTCTCGGGCAGCACTGTCCTTCCCTGTTGCTGGCTGTTTTCCTACATGTAAGGCCTGTGTTGGTACCTGATGCATGTCTTCAGAGCTCCAAAAAAGACAAGAATCTGTCTCTATTTGTGACCTAGTCAGTGTAGAGGGAATTGGGGGACGAGGAGGCATGTGAAGAAAGGATGGGTTTACTCCTATTATACCACAGGTTCCCAACCCACTTCACTCTTATAGGAAGTATGGGTAGCCCAGGCTGGCGATTCCTGCTCAATGCTTGCAAGATAAGAGGGCAGGCAAGATGTAGCAGCCCATGCCCACAATCCCAGAACTCAGGAAGCAGAAGCAAGAGGGTCCCAAATTTGAGGCCAGCCTGGGCTACACAAAGAGATCTTTTCTCAGAAATAAATAACTAAATAAATCACTGTGTCTGGGGCCAGCCTCATACTGACACCTTTGAGGGTTTTTTCCTCTGAGCAGCTGCAGGTACAGATCCAGTCTATTTGTTCATAGCCCCAGAGTAGGGCCTGGATGGGCCATGGTAGACCCTGTCCCCAAATACAGGGACAGAGTCAGGTCCCCTAGAGCCTCTTCTCCTCTCCACAGCTCCCTCTCCCAACCCCACCTTGCTCCTCAGACTTTCAGCTCACAGCTGTTACCCGGGCCCCATCCCCCGTGCCCATTGCTCTAACCCCAAATGGAAGACCTGAATCAGGAAAAGAATGGTTTTTCTTTACATTTTTGGACCCAACAGGGGAAAAGTCTCAGCTTATGCCCACCTTGTCTGTAGCAATATTGTAATTTACAGAAAGGATTAAGCAAAAGCCTGCCCAGGAGGCTGGGGCGTAGCTGGCACGTTAGAGAGCTTACTCTGGCTTTGATCCCCGACATTGCCTGAACTGGGTCTGTCGGCCACACCTGTAACCCCAGTATTTGGCGGGTAGAGGCAGGACGGTGAGGAGTTCAAGGAGTTCTGTGGCATTGACTAGTTGGAGGCGAGCCTGGGATACATGAGCGCTTGCCTCAGAGGAGAAAACAAAAGCTTGCGTATGAGTTATTCGTCTGCACAGGCAGATGTGATGGTGAGATAAGTTAACCAGAACTGTGAAATTAATCTTTTCCTCTAAGACAGCTCCTCTCCAGGCCAGGGCTTTCCAGTCTGCTCTTCACTGTGGCATAGAAGAGCCTGGATACAAGTTAATCTCATAGATTGCGTTACACTGTTACACGGGCAGTTTTGGGTGGTGGTGGTGGTGGAGGTGGTGGAGGTGGTGGAGGTGGTGGAGGTGGTGGTGGTGGTGGTGGTGGTGGTGGTGGTGGTGGTGGAACCCCAGGCCTCTTGTGTACTAGGTGAGTGCTCTCACACTGAGTTACAGCTCCAGCCCCAAACATGATTTTAGTTGTGACCCAGCCTCGGGGAACCGCATAACTCCCCGCTGGCTCCTCTCCACCTATGGCAGCTTTTCCTGTAACCCAATTTAAGGAAGGAAGACTCTGAGAACATTATTCGTTCCAGCAGTCTCTTGTCTCAGTTGTTTATAAAGAAACATAGGAACAGGGTGGCGGCGCACGCCTTCAATCCCAGCTCTTGGGAGGCAGAGGCAGGCGATCTCTGAGTTCAAGACTAGTCTGGTCTATGAAGTGAGTTCCAGGATGGCCAGAACTACACAGAGAAGCCCTGTCCCTAAAAACCAGGGAAGAGGAGGAGGAGGAGGGAGAGGAGGAGGAGGAGAAAGAGGAGGAGGAGGAGGAAAGAAAAAATATGAGTAGAATAAGTAAATAGCCAAGAAGGCAAAAAACAAAAAACAAAAAAACCTGAAGCAAAGTGTTTGCAAATCAAGTATGAGACAAAGGGGGATGGGGACAGGGCTGATTCATTAAAACTAAATACTGCTCTTACAGAGGACCTGAGTTTGCTTCCCAGAATCCATGTCAGGCAGTCACAACCATCTGTAACTCCAGCTCCTGGAGATCTGATGCCCTCTTCCAGGCACACACACACACACACACACACACACACACACACACACACACACACCTCACTCTCACTCTCTTTAAAATAAACATTTATGTAAAAACATATGTGACAAAGGACTTGTATTCAGAATGTGAAAAGAACTCTTACAATTTAAGAAGACGAAGACACGCTCACTTTGGCAGCACACTTACTAAATTTGGAATGATACGGAGAAGATTAGTGTGGCCCCTGAACAGAACAAGGATGACATGCAAATTCATGAAGTGTTCCATATTTTAAAACAGAAAAAAAGACAAACCAACTTTCATAAAGGAAAAAAATCATTTGGTCATTTTGGAAAAGAGGTATTTCTCCGTTCCAAAGAAAATTTACAAATCAGTAAGCAAATGAAAAGATTCTCAGACTTTCCAACAGCAGTGTGATATATACCACAGGTCTGCTTCCTGATGAAACTGTTGCTAACTAACTAACTAACTAACCAACTAACTAACTAACTCTCTCTCTCTCAAAACAAAAAAGAAAAGCTAAGTCACAGCCATCTTCTCCCCCACACCCTGACACAGAGATGATACAGCCAAGAAAACAGGGTTCTTACTCCCTGTGACTCATAGTGTTCTGTCAGGAAAGGCCACCAATGCCTGCCCCACCTCATCCCTGCATCCCCTGAGCTCTGGGTCGCAGAGGCTAAAATCCCGGTGAATGCATCCAGGAAGTCAGAGGCTGCCATCCTTTCTCCACCCAGCCCCTCTGCAAACAGGGCCAGCTCTGTCCACCAGCCATTAGGTCCAGAATCCCAGGGCCTTGATTGCTGTTTGCCCTGCTTATTTCTGGGCCACAGGTTCTATGCAAGAAGAGGAAGTCAAGCCGGAAAGCAAGCCAAGCAAGGAGAGAGAGACAGAGATACAGAAAGAGAGGGAGGGAGAGACAGAGAGAGACAAAAATACAGAGACAGAGAGGGAGGGAGATACAGAGAGAGACAGAGACAGAGACAGAGACACACAGAAACAGAGACACAGAGAGAGAGGGAGGGAGAGACAGAGACACAGAGACACACACACAGATAGAGAGGGAGAGACAGAGACAGACAGAGAAAGAGAGGCCAAAACCACACAAAGGCCTGCCCACACTCGACAAGTTCCTCATGAAGAGGTGCCACCCTGAGAGAAACGGGCCGCTTTCCCTGCCCGCCAGTCTTAGGGTTTCACCCGGGATAAAGTGTCCCAAAGAATGCAGCATTGAAACATCTCCACATGGTGGAAGAGAAAAGGGTGGAGATTTTGTGGGAACTCAGGGGTATCTGGAATAGAGCAAGCAGCTAACCACAGGTCACCTCATCACCAGAAAAGAAAAAGAAAATGAAAGGAGTCAAAGCAAACCTCAAAATGACTCCACCCAGTGTCTCACCAGAGGTGACCCGGCTTGGTGGTAAACATGGGCAAAACCCAATTCTATTCCATCGGGAAGTGACGCAACCTTGTAAACGTGAAGGAGAGAAACCGCCCAGACTTCTGCTTCTTCGATTTTTAACTTTTATTTACAATTCTCGATTTATTTAGTACATGTGTGTATGTGCACATATGCATGTGTGTGGCTTGAATGTGTAGACGTCAGAAGACAACTTGTGGGAGTCAGTCCTCCCTTCCACTATGTGGGTAACATGGATCAGTCTCGGGTTGCCCAGAATTGACAAGTGTCTTTACCCACTGAGCCACCTTGCCAGCCCCTGCTTCTTCAATTTTAAATGAATGACTTGAATGCTAAAATATTTATCTATTTTACATTATTGCATTTTTAAATTTTGTTGTTTTATGCTCATTGGTGTTTTGCCTGTGTGTATGTCTGTGTGAAGGTGTCAGATGCCCTAGAACTGGAGTTACAGACAGTTGTGAGCTGTTATGTGGGTGCTGGGAATTGAACCCAGATCCTCTGGATGAGCAGCCGGTGCTCTTAACCACTGAGCCATCTGTCCAGCCCCCATTATTTCATTTTTTAATAATGTCTTAAATGCTACTTTATACTTCTTCTGCATTTTTGTCTGTGTGTAAACACCTGATGCCTATGCATGAGATGCAAAGCCAAGGTTACCCACCCAGTGGGGAGTGGGGAAGGGGGGAGAGGAGCTGTGCAGAAGGCCTGCTTGTCAGACTTAACAAAGACTGCTCTTGCAGTATGTTCAAAGAACTAAAGGAGGCATGGAGACCCTCCTCATCAAATACAGAACACTGATAAAGGGACAGACGTGTGTGTGTGTGTGTGTGTGTGTGTGTGTGTGTGTGTGTGTGTGTGTGTGTGTGTGTTTACAAAGGAAATAGAAACTCTGGGGCGAATAAAAAAATCCCAAGAAGGTGTTGGTGAAGATTTGGACTGGCAGAAGAAAGAACCAACAAACTTCCAGATAGAAGACTGGAAATTCTGTACTTCAAAGAACAAAAGGGGGAAAGGGATAACAAATGCACAGAGCCTCAGGGAAATGGGGGATGCCACTAACATCAATATGCGCACTGGAATACTAGAGGAAGACGAGAAAAGACCGGGAAAAAATGCTCCAAGAAGAAATGACTAAAAATCTTACAAATTAGACGAAAAACATTAAGCTCCACATCTCAGAAGCTCAACAAACTCTTAAGTAGAATAGGACAAAGAGATCTGCATTCTGATATGTTATAATAAAAATACTGAAAGATAAACACAAAGGGAGAAATTTGAAAGCAGCAAAAATATGACTTGTCACATACAAAAGAACTCAATTAGCTCCCAATACAATTAGCTTTTCATGCCCATAAATAATAGGAGACAGAAGGTGGTGCTGGTGATGGGGTAACATTCTAATTGCTGCAAGAAAACTTTCACTCCCACCAGCACCTGTTGGCATGTACCTCTTTAATTTTGACCATCCACTGCTGCTGGGGTTGAAAAATGGGATTGTAACTTTGGAAAACAGAATGAGAACTCCCCTAAGGGCTAAACACACACCTACCATATAACCTAACTGTTACACTACTATGCATATACCTAAGGGAAATAAATATACCCACACAAAATCTTGTACATAAATACTTATGATGGCATTATACACTTAGCCAAAAACAGTGAAATGTCTATACATTTAAATAAGTAACACATGCTATATCAATATTATGAGTATTATCCACCAATAAAGAGGGATGAAGTACTGACCCAGGCTTCCACAGCATGATGAACTTTGAAAGCATCATCCTAAGTGAAAAAGGCCTATAATAAAAGACAGCATATCAAGGCAAAGATGTGGCTCAGCATCCATGTGCTTGCCTAGCATGGACAAGGCCCTCTGTTCAGCCCTTAGTACTACGAAACAAAACAAAAATCGAATAAATTAAAAACTATACGGTATGAAACATCCCAAGTAAAGAAATGCACACGGTCAGAAAATAGATACGAGCGTGTCATAGGCTGGGAAGAGAAGCAAACAGGATTGCCTGCTAATGGGCTTGAGAGCTAGTCCAAGAGCGATGAAATATCCCAAGAGCAGAAGATGTTGGACAGGAGAGCTGGCTCAGTGAGTGCAGTGCTTGACGCACAAGCATGAGGCCCTGAGTTCAGATCCCCAGAACCCATGTAAAGCCAGATGTGGTACTGTGTGTCCATGACACCAGTGCTCCTATGGCCAGATGGGAAGTGGAAACAAGAGGACCCCCAGAAAGCTCATGAGCCATTTAACCTGGCATACACAATAACAACCAAAAAGAAACCCTACCTCAAACAAGACGAGATGCCCCAGCTTCTCCTCTGACCTCCACACAAGGATCATAGCAATCAAGCACCAGCATTATCACACAGAAACACACAAACACACACACACATGCGTGCACACCCGTGCATGAAGACACAAGGACCGTGGCAGTCAGGTACTAGCATTATCACACAGGAACACACAAACACACATACAAGCACACAAAGCCTAGGAGACACTGCTGCACTCAACTCTATGGCTATGTTAAGAATCACAGAACTGCACATTTTACAAGTATGACTTCGGTTACATAAGTTATATCTCAACAAGGCTGTCATTAACAAAAGGAATTAAACACGTCGGGGGCGGGGTGTTTGTTTCTGGTTTGGTTTGGTTTTGTTGTAGCTGGTCAAGAATTTTCACAGTCAAGTTATAAAGGAGCTGGGGTGGACATGTGCTTTGTTGTTAACTATTACCTCTTCCTTTCTTCCTGAGAGGAGGATAACCTGAGCGGACACTGTAGAGACCCATTGCTAATTCATAAGTGGACCGATGCTAATTTCTTACACACACAGTCATCTCTGAATTAAGTCTGCTTATAGAAGGATTTTATATCCTATGGTAAGAGCTTTCTAGCTTTCATCATACTTGAATGGAGGAAGTTTTATTTCTAAGATCTCTTTCCTCAAGCCTGGTTCAAGAGTAAACACTCTGCTTGTTATCCGGGCCACTTTAAGTCACGGCTTTCCTTAGCAGAGAGGCACCGGTCATTTGAGAGGGAAACTTATCTTAAAGCAGTTTGCTTGCATTTACACTTCCTGTCTCAGGAGGGACTATGGTCTCTTATTTAAAGATGAAGGAGAAGGAGGACTGGGGAGATGGCTCCATCAGTTAAGGTGCCTGCCTCAAAAGCTTGAAAACTGTCTCTGGATCCCTAATACCCACATAAAAACCTGACTTGATGCTGTGTGCCTGTAACCCCAGTGCTGGCAGGGCATGGAGACAAGCAGATTCCACTGGTTTTCTGGCCAGCAACTCTAGACGAGCTCCCGGTTCAGTGAGAGACCTTGTCTCAAAATACACACAGTGGAGGATGACCTCCATGTGTACATACACAGGCATGCTGACCTGTGGCATGCACAAATGCACGCATACGCACAGTCATGCATACCTGTGTACATACATACACTTCACATACATACATTTTTTTTTTTTTTTTTTTTTTTTGGTTTTTCGAGACAGGGTTTCTCTGTGTAGCTTTGTGCCTTTCCTGGAACTCACTTGGTAGCCCAGGCTGGCTTCGAACTCACAGAGATCCACCTGCCTCTGCCTCCCGAGTGCTGGGATTAAAGGCGTGCGCCGCCGCCGCCGCCGCCGCCGCCGCCGCCGCCGCCGCCGCCGCCACCACCACCACCACCACCACCACTGCCCGGCCATTTTTTTTTTTTTTTTAATGAAGAAGCAAGGCTGATGGAGATGAATGTGTGGGCAAAGTCACATATCAGAATTGCTAGAATCTAAGAAAACCTGTGTTCTTTGACTGCTTTCCAGGGCTTTCAGTTTTGTGCAGGACTTATCTTTATGGTCCTTCACAGCTTTGGTGAAAGCTGAAACTGCCAGGCTTGAACTACTCGGAGAGTTAAAAATCAAAGGTGCCTTTCAAGTATAGTGCATGGTTCTCCTAGCCCCAGAACCACGTTTTTCTGTTACTTCTAACCGGTTAGATTCATTCATTAACAGTTTAGGTATGTACCAAGTGCCCAGCCCTGTGTTGTTCTAGGTCATCTAAAACACAATTGTACTGATTATTTAGGTATGGGAGCATTACCTTTCTGATGGAGGATAAGAGCGAAGGCTGACTTTTTTCTTTCCCTCTACTAGAGAGCAAGAATAAAGTAGCCCATAATAGAACCTGTTCACAAGAATGCTGGGTACATGCAGACACATGAACAGAGCTGGTCTCTCTTGCTTGACCTTGAGACTTATGAAGGAAAAAACTATGTCCTGTGCCCAACACAGACCCTGGCCTGGGGCAGGTATTCAAGTCAGCTGAACAAGTGATTAATTAATTCCTTTGACCAGTCCACTAAAAAAAGAATTTGAATGAGTCACTTCATTGCTCCCATGCTTTCATTTATTCACTTACGAAACAAGAAAAAAGAGAGTACCCATCCCATGGGACAATGGTGAGTGCTCTTGAAGCAACACAGCATATACACAAAGCATCTGGTATGGTCACTGTGTATGGTGGCACACGTCTGTAATCTTCGCACTTGGGAAGATCAGAAGTTCAAGGTCATCCAGAAATACATAGCAAGTTCAAGGCCAGCCTGGGATGTCTGAGACCTTGACTCAAAAAAAAATACACTATGGTTGTTATTCTTATTATAATTTATGTTGAGAGATGTAAAAAGCAAGAGTGACCTTCCATCTCTCCTTTGCTTTTTGTTTTCATCTCAACAGTAATAAGATTGATCCAGAGCTTGTGTATGCTGGGCAAGCACTCTGCCTTTGACCTACGACGCCAGTCTCTTCCTCATGGCCTTTGTGAGCTGGTTTTAGCTATTGAAACAACTGAAAGACACATGGTGCAGCTAGGTAGATTGCACTCTGCTCTGTTGTAGAAACCTCTGATAAGAATGATAAGTGGTGATGGTTACCAGCACTGGTTACCATGCAGAAAGGTCATGAGCCACGAAAGAACCCAGTATCAGAGCTTTATTAGGAGGAGGGGAGCAGAAGAACCAGACCTGGGAAAGGAGCATGTGCAGAGAGGAGAGAGAGAGAGAGAGAGAGAGAGAGAGAGAGAGAGAGAGAGAGAGAGAGAGAGCAAAAGAGAACAGGTAAGGGAAGAGGAGGGGGGTCTGTGTCCAGCTTTTTAAGGAGCAGGTAGGCTTACGGAGCTACACCAGGCATGCGCTGATTGCGTGACCAGGCCTCAGGCACATAGTCACCAGTGCACACTGATGACATAAGATGAAAGACCCTTTGCTTAGCATGTGCATGTGCGGCATGCAGCTGGAGTGAGAGCAGAATTCTAACATTCCAGACTTTTTGCTTATTACAAAAAAGCGAGTGAACAGGAATAGGGGTGTCTTTCTACCAGAAAAACTGCTTCCAGCTGACTTGGTGGGCATCAGTTGACTCTTGAGGGGGCTTCTGAGGTAGACAGTCATCCTGGGATGGTGGGCTGTCATCTGCTGCCTCGCAACTGTTCATCTTTCTTGGCTTGGCACTCTGGCTGCTTTTGTGTCTGACAGGATGCTGGTGAGACAGAGAAAGGCTTAGAAGAATGAATTATTATTATTATTATTATTATTATTATTATTATTATTATTATTATTATTTTCCTTTGGGGGTTCCCAGGATGATAGAGGGGGTCCCAAGACCAGGAAAGTTTGGGTTTGGCACTTATCTTGAAGTAGATCCAACCTCTCAGGTGGGTTTAAGCTGGTTTCTGGAGCTTAGGAAAAATTTTAAACATATTTAGAAGCAGCCATGATAAAATTAAAGTCTTGGGCTGGTGACCATTGTAGTGTTTAGTACTCTGCTGGTTAATGTTAATGAGAGAGACAGAGACAGAGACAGAGAGATTGGAACATGTTCTTAATTTTTACATGAGATAAGCTTTATCAGAGACAGATTATTTTAAGGCAACTGTTTCCTTTTAGTTTAGCATCCAGGAGACACAGGTGATCAATTGCTGAGAGCATTTAACAGTAACAGATGGTTATATTAATGTCTGTTTTTTGCAAAGCCCAGACCTTTTTGGTCTTGGGGTGTAAATACCCTTTAACTGTTACTGTTCCTTTACCACCTGGGTATATATTTGAGGGTCCTTGGATTCTGGCTCTATGGTGATCCTGTAACAATTAGCTGAGTAGTTAATTAGAAGAGGGAACCAGGAAAGGGAAAGCTTGTGGGGTGAGACCTCATTCTTCTGGAATTGGGGACAAGGCGGAGATCAGGGCCCTGTCTGTGTCACTGTGCATGGGAAGCCCTGCTGACAGGTCTGGTGTGAGGCACACGGAGGGAGCAAATGAAATGAAAGCTCCTACCTTAGCTGGAAATCTTTTCCCATTAAGTAACCCTGAAAGTACAATTAAGTCTGGTGAGGTGGTAAGGCTGTCTCCCTACCCCAACAATGGGGAAATAAGAAGGAGAGGTGGTACCCCAAAACTCCCTCAGGATTGATTAAGTAGCTTGGTATCCAACAGGAAGGAAATGGATCACCATGCTGCATCCTGGGTTCCCTGAGAGCTTGAGGTCAAGCCTATGAGGTCTGCTGGAAGTCTTTGTCCCCATGCCCCGAGGTGCCAGGGGCAGTCAGCTGACCAGTTGTCTCTCTAGGTGGCACTTGGAACAAGGCTCAGTTTATGGCCCAGCAGGGCATATACTAGCCCACGTGGCCTTCTTTCCTGCACTTAAAACAGGGACCCAGTGGCTTTTGGGAGATGGTCGGATAGCGTGTACCAGCATTTGGCAATTCTGTTCTCGGCTTTCTCGTTTCTCCCATGGTACACCTTAAAATGCCACAGCTGAAACTGTGAGAGACAGTGGGGGCAAAAGAGAACAGAGAAGGGGAGGGGGGTCTGTGTCCAGCTTTTTAAGGAGCAGGTGGGCTTACGGAGCTACGCCAGGCATGCGCTGATTGCGTGACCATAGTCACCAGTGCACACTGACGACTTAAGACGCAAGACCCTTTGCTTAGCTCCTGAACTGCGCATGTGCGGTCATGCTGCTGGAGTGAGGGCAGAATTCTAACCTCAGTCTTAGACCCGGAGACTGGGTCTGGGGGGAAGGGGCACACATCCAGTACTCCTCCCCCTACGTAGCTTGAGCCAGCTGGTTGCTACATTTCACTCTCACCAGAAAGGAAAGGGGGAGCCTGTTTTGAAAACATTAATGTTTGGCTTAAAAGGACATTCCCCAGAACAAGGCCAGCCAGCTGGCTAGTGGGACATCCACTTTTAGGCTCTGATCCTCTAGCTAGTAGTGTGTTTGTGTGTTCATGTGTGTTCACCTGGGTAGGATTTCCATCCCATCAAGAGAAACAGGTCTTTCAACAGATTGACTATGGCACCTGTTATCACTGGGTCCTGACTAGTGGGGTTTCCAAGACACATCCCTCAAATCCCAAGGGGTTAAAAGTAGTCAGGGCCTTGCTTCCCCAACAGCAGACCTTTGGATGGAAAGGCTTCTCTTTGCACTACTGCTCGGTTGACTGGATTCTAGTCCCACAAGCCCCAGCTAGGACTCTGTCTGTAAACCAGAGCTCCTCACAGCTTTCCAGAGAGACTCCTTGGGCACAAAAACCCTCAGAAGGGAACTGGAGCCCGGAGCAAACCGTGGACAGCAGTGTTATCTAACACATTTACCAGGGTTCCCAAAGGCATGCAGTACCCGATACAGGACTGGGGCAAATGGCTACTGTGTGCTCATGGCTGGTCAGGACACCTTGTTGGGCACCTCTTCCTCTTCGTGGAGGGAAAGAGACCCACAGCCATGGTCTCCAGGAAAGAGTTGCAGGGCACTGAACCAATCTCACCCTCCCCAGCATCCATGCTTCTGTACAAAGAAAACAGGTTTGATTACTGTCCCCAACAGGCTACCTTCATGGTGTCCAACCTGTGTAGTCACACAGGGCCCCCACACTTGATCACAATGTTCTTTGGGTGTTTTGAAATTCTTTTTTTTTTTCCCTTTTTTCCAGAACTTTTTTTTTTTTGAAACAAGGACTTGCTGTATAGCACAGGCTATCCTCAAAACTCCCGATCCTCTAGGCTTCCACCACCATACCTGTCTGGAAACCCTTAATTCCAGGCCCAGGAAGATGGCTCAGTCAATAAAGTGTTTGCCATGTAAGCAGGATGACCTGAGTCTGATCCCCAGAGCCCATGTGAAAAAGCTCAGCGTGGTGAAGTACATTTGTTATCCCAACACTGGGGAAGGTAGACAGAGAGACCCCTGAGGCTTTGCTGACCAACAGGCCTTGCCTAATTAGTGAGCCCTGTCTCAAAAAATAAGGTGCAGGGCCCCTTCAATGGTCAACGTTGGCATTCACACACACACACACACACACACACACACACACACACACACACACGCGCGCGCGCACACACACACGAAAGAAAGGAAAAGAGAGGGAGAGAGAGAGACAACTAAAGAGAGAAAAAGGGAGAAATGAAGGTCATCTAAATTTTGTACTTGCTATTTTTGAACCAGGGGTTCAGCCAGTTCGGTTTGCTCTGGGCCTACACATTAGTAGAATTCCCACCCATTTTTTTTTCTCATGCTGGGTCTGACTCCATCTCCATCAACCTTTCTCTTTCCTTTCTGTCTCTAAGTCCATTTATTTATTTATATATTTTGTTTGTTTTTGGTGTTTTGAGGCAGGGTTTCTCTGTGTAGCCCTGGCTGTCCTGGAACTCACTATGTAGACCAGGCTGCCCTTGAACTCAGGATCCACCCAGCTCCACCTCCCCCAAGTGCTGGGATTAAAAGCGTGCTCCACTGTGCCGGCCACTAAGCCCTTTCTTTGCCTCTCTGTTTCAAAGTCCTGACAGTGAAACAATTTTTAAAACCACAAAGCAGAGAACATTCCACTTGGAAGCTCTTTGCTGTCGAGATGCAGCTGAATAGGGATGGCTAATGACTGGCATGTAACTAACACCACTGCTGGCGTAAGATGTGTTGTGTTCTGCACAAGGCTGGATGCGGTGACGGAGGCCTTGTACCCCCAGTCCTAAGCAATTACGTTCTAATGTCACGGGCTGGAAGAAGTATAGGATCTCTTTGTCCTGCCCTTGGACATGCGATGATGTGCCTCTGTGTGTCAGGGTTCGATCTCAAGCTGCTCTCTAAGCATTAGCCAGCTACTTTTGGAGGAAGGTAGCCATTTACTCAGATATATCTTGACTCTCCCCTCTGGTCTATAGACTGGCAAAGCACAGGAAGCTGGCTGGACAGCAGTAGAAGGCTTGTTGTCTGTCTTGTCTCTCAGAGCCCATTCAGGGACCTCAGGTCCATTTTCATTTCTGAGTAATTTACTTTTTAACCTCATTTCATTTATTAATATTAGTATGGATGGGTGGGTAATGTGTAGGGGGAGAGTGCACGTACCACAGCGTGCACGTGGAGGTCAGAGGACAGCTTTGTGAAGTCGGTCCTCCTCTTCCACCTTCATGTGAGCGCCAGGAATTGAACTCAGGTGGCCAGGCTCACTCAGCAAGCACCTTAACCCTCCAAGCCTTGTTGGCCCCATTTCTGGGTAATTTATAAAGAATGAAGGCTTGGACTCGGTGAGCAAGAACACTTGCTAGGTGGGTGCCCATAGACCTGAGTTCAAATCCCTAGGACTCACGTAAAAAAGTCAGGCATGGCCGCACATGTCTATAACCCCAGCATTAAAGGCTGGAGAAAGGTAGATCCTGGGAACACACTGGCCAGCATAGTCTAATTGGGAGCTTCCAGTTCAATGAGAGGCCCTATTTCAGGGAATAAGACAGGAAGTGATGTAGAAAGACACCTGGTGTCTTCCTCTACCCTCCATATGTGTGGATGCACACTCACATGTATGTAGCACACACACACACACACACACACACACACACACACATATAGAAAACCATACACACATACCAACACACACGTAGAATAAAGGCTTGTTCAAATCACGGTTATGAGTGTTGAGGAGTTCAAGGCCAGGGGCTGTGTCTAGTGTGGACCTTCTTACACGGGGCATCTCGTAGTGAAACAGAAAGCTCACTTAGATCTGTCCTCTTACAAAGCTGCTGTCCCTTTGGGTTAAGCCTCACCCTGTCATCTCATTTCACTTAATCACCACCCAAAATTCCTATCTTCACCACCCAAAATTCCTATCTCCAAACACCATTGTTGAATTAAGTATGTTTACTTCCTTAATCCCTTACTATAGGGATTAAATTTCACCATGAGTTTTAGTGGGAACAGTCACACTATAGTACCAGGTGGGGTGACGTCATTCCAGTTAGCCTGAGATTGAGCCTTGGTTGCTTCTGAAGGCTGAAGAACTGACTTCCTGGTCCATGTTTTCCTTCTGCCGAGCCATGCTTGGACACCCTACTGGCAGCATGAGCCTGGAGTGACCCTTTATGGAAGAAAACCTATAAGGGGAAATCCTTAGGTCTCAGGACTTAGGCAAGCTGTTGCTCTCAGATCACTGTGAGTTCCTGAGGCCCTTCTAAAGCTGAGCTGCTGTGATAGCCAAAGCCAGCTCTGGAAACCCACTGCCACAGGTAGACCCTTGGACAGGACAGTCTGCTGTGACTCCTGACCTGAGTTTTTATAAGCCCCCTGACCTTTTTGCCCTGATTGCCTTAGCATTTTGGTTTCTGCTTTTCGTTTGTCAGTGTTTCTAGACACACCTCTCTGCACTACAGAATGCGATATGGCATG